GCAGGAGAACCCAGATGCCTACCTCCCGGGAGAAGAGGAGACGGGGAAAAAGGGAAGTGATTTTATGGAGCCCCATCCCCAGAGCGCCAAGCCAAGTGCTTAAATCCAGGATTCCCTCCTTTTATGCACTCAGCAAATATTTTCATAATGCCCACTCTGTGCCAGAGATGGCACTGGGGATTTGGCAAAGAACGAGACGGTTCCAGCCCCTGCCCTCAGGGAGCTTGCATTCTAAGTGGGGAGAAAGGATGGCGCCCACTCATTGAGTGAGTGACGATTGTAAGTTGGGCTGTGAAGAAGACATTCAAGATACTCAAGACTAAAAGACAGGGCACCTGGCTAGGATAAGGCAGGGGGAGGTATCTTGTAGTGCTGGATGAAGAGGGAAGAAAGAACTTTCCAGGCTAACAGAAGAGCACATGCAGAAACACCAGGGTGCGCAGGCATCTGATGTGACACGAGTGAGGAATGGGAGGCCGGAGTGGGGAGCAGAGAGGAAACGGAAGGTCTCGGGAGTTGAACTTGGGGAGAGTGACAAGGGCCAGGTCATAGCCGGCTTCCTAGGCTGTGGTCAGGACTTGACTTTTATTAGGTTGGTGCAAAAGTAATTGTGATGTCTGCCATTCCTTTTTTTTTGTTTTTTAACAGAGTCTCTCTCGGTCACCCAGGCTGGAGTTCAGTGGTGTGATCTTGGCCTACTGCAACCTCCACCTCCGAGGTTCAAGCCATTCTCCTGCCTCAGCCTCCCAAGTAGGCGGGACTACAGGCGCACACCACCACCTTCCCCGGCTAATTTTAATTTTTGTATTTTTGGCAGAGATGGAGTTTCACCATGTTGGCCAGGCTGGTCTCAAACTCCTGACCTCAAGTGATCCGCCCACCTCGGCCTCCCAAAGTGCTGGAATTACAGGCATGAGCCACCACGCCCAGCCAATTTCCGCCATTACCTTTAATGGTGGAAACAGCAATTACTTTTGCACCAACCTAATAGCTTAGGAGAGGGAAGAGGCCATCTATAAGTTTTAAGTCAGGCAGTGATGTGACCCAACGTGTGTTTCTTAAAGATTACAGAGTCCATGCAGGAAAGATGGTTTATATATGGTCGGTGGTTGTTTCTGCACTACAACAGCAGAGTTGTTATATTTGCAACAGAGACCATATGCCCCATAAAACCTGCAATAGTTCCTATCTGGCCATTCACTAGAAAAGGGGGGCAAGAGAGGAGGATGGGGACCAAGTGCCTGCAGGGAAGATGGAGCAGAACAGTGTTTCATCCCTGTTTTTCAGATAATGTCACAAGGTCGAAAGACATCTTAATGAAAGTGAAAGTACAAGGCACTTACCAGGAGATAGTCACACCAGATGCCATGGCTCACACCTGTAATCCCAGCACTTGGGGAGGCCAAGGCAGGAGGATCACTTTCAGCCAGGAGTTTAAGACCAGCCTGGGCAACAAAGTCAGATCTCAGCTTTACAAAAAAATATAATAAAAAGTTAGCTTGGCATGGTAGTACATCTGTACTTACAGATGGCCTCTTCCCTCGCCTAAGCTTCTAAGGAGGCTGAGGTGAGAGGATTGTTTGAGTCTAGGAATTCAAGGCTCAGCAGGCTATGATTGTGCCGCTGCACTCCAGCCTGGGTGACAAAGGGAGACTCTCTTTCTTTCTTGCTCTCTCTCTCTCTCTCTCTCTCTCTCTCTCTCTCTCTCTATATATATATATATATATATATATATATATATATTCACAATGTATTTGCTGTCAAAGGATTATCATCAAGAGTCTATAGAAAATATACACATCCTTGGGCTGGGCACGGTGGCTCACGCCTATAATCCCAGCACTTTGGGAAGCTGAGCAGATCACCTGAGGTCAGGAGTTCAAGACCAGCCTGGCCAACATAGCAAACCCTGTCTCTACTAAAAATACAAAAATTAGCTGGTGTGGTGGCACACACCTGCAATCCCAGCCACTTGGGAAGCTGAGGCAGGAGAATCACTTGAACCTGGGGCGGGGGCCGGAGGTTGCAGTGATCCAAGATCATGCCACTCACACTCTAGCCTGGGCGACAGAGCAAAACTCCATCTCAAAAATAAAAGAAAGAAAGAAAAAAGAAAATATACACATCTTCTATATGTAAGAGGAAAAGCACAGGCAACTCAGAAAAAAATGGGTATGTGACATGAGCCAGCATTTGGAGAAGAGGAAATAAATAAGCATGTGAAGATAGGTACAGATCTGGGGACCATCATAAGTTACAATTCTATACCCACGTGATTGGAAAAAAATGTAAAAGTCTATGTGAGTCAAGTGCTGGAGAAGATGAGGACTGATAGGATTTCTTTCACACTGCAGCCACTTTGAACACCATGTTGGCAGTAGTTCTGAAAATTGAAACTCACATGCCCTAAGCCCATCAGTTACCTCCTAGGGTAGTACCCAAGAGAAACGCTTACAGGTGTTGACCAGGGACATTTACAAGAATGCTCATGATCATCCACAAAAGCAGAAACCTGGCAACAGCAAGAGAGCAGGTGAATAAACAGTTCCTAACCCACCAGCAGGAGAGTGGATGAATAAACTACATTATAGTCAAGACAATGAAATATTATACAGCGATATGATATTAAGTTAAAAACACACCAAGTTTCCAACACTACCTATAATATTATACCCTTTAAATAAAATTTTAGGAATACATAGAGAGGGAAAATAAAACTATATAAAAAAGGAAACAGGGGAGTAAGGAGCATGGAATTCAGGTGGTAGTCACCTTAAGGGGGAGGCTGGGGGATGGGGAAGCACAGGTTAGACACAGGTGTGGTCAAGGCCTTATTGCTATACAGGTGCTTATCCATAGCACTGGTGCTAATTACAGTATTAAAAAGTAATTCATTATATAGACATAAAGTAGGGCTATGTATTGACCAATGAAGAGAATGTCTCATGTTCTAAGGATTATGGGTAATTTAATTCAGTCCACACGGCATCGTCAAAATATGAAAAAAGAGGTACAGTAGCAAGTCCATAGTTACCCGCTGTGGCAACCTGCTCCCTTCTTGGAACCTGATATGTCCCCATTGGACTTCCTTCACTTGCTGCTCAAGTCACTGGTGGAATCAACTGCTGGAATTGATTGCTCTGCTGTGGCAGAGCCAGTTCTTGCATCCTACTCTGTCTGCCCTGGGTACCCGGCCCCTCCCACACCACCACCACTGGGAGAGGAGGGGAGGGGGCCATGGATGACCATTGTACCTCAGAGGCTTGAGCTGGATGGAATTGTTTCTGTCCAGATCTGTCCCTGGCCCGACCATGGGTGGCTGGAAAAGACTATAAATGGATGGGATTCCGTTTCCTCACACTCAGCACTCCTTGAGGTCAACAGCATCACTGCCAGTGGGGCTCAAAGTTTATGTTTTCCAAGACAGAGAAGTTGCGTTGTGGCCCACCTTGAAAGCCCTAACAGCACCACAGAAGGAGAGGGTTTGGAGAGGACAGTGGCTCAAAGATTTCGGGGGAGAGGAGGGCTGCAGGACGGGGAGGAAAGGAGGGGAATTCAAAGGGGAGGAAGATGAAAATGAAGTCAGGAGAGATGAGGCTTCGATCTGCATGTTACTTACAATATACAGGCTTCTATCTGTATATTCCTTACAATAATATAGTATTATGAGACTATATTATTAATATTTATAAATGATATACATATTTATATTATTTTATTTTAATTTTTTTCTTTCTTTCTTTTTTTTTTTTTTTTTGAGGCAGGGTCTCACACTATGACCTGGGCTGGAGTACAGTGATGCAATCTTGACCTCCCAGGCTCAAGCGATCCTCCCACCTCAGCTTCCCTAGTAACTGGGACTACAAGCACACATCACCATGCCGAGCTATATTTTGGTATTTTTTTAAATAGACATGGGGTTTCACCATGTTGCCCAAGCTGGTCTTGAACACTTGAGCTCAAGCGATCCACCCACCTTGGCCTCCCAAAGTGTTGGGATTACCGATGTGAGCCACGACACCCAGCATGTTTTTGTATTTTATATTACAGTTGGCCTTCTGTATCCACGGGTTCCACACCTGTGGGTTCAACCAACCTCAGATTGAAAATATCTTTTTAAAATAGATAGTTGCATCTATACCAAAAATGTACAGACTTTTTTTCCTGTCATTATTCCCAAAACAACACATGATAACAACTACTTACCTAGCATTTCCATGGCATTAGCTATTACAAGTAATCCAGAAGTGATTTAAAGAATAGGGGAGAATGTGCTTAGGTTTTATGCAAATTCTGTGCCATTTCATATAAGTGACTCTAGCGTCTGTGAATTTTGGTAGCCTGGGAGTGTGGGGGTGGGGTCCTGGGACCAGTCCCCCACAGATACCAACGGATGACTGTATATTTATATTTACTTTTTAATCTGAAAAAGAATAGAATTAAGTTTTGCTAACATCTATTATATTATTACTTAGGTTCACAGATATACTTCATACATAAATTAATTCTTCATGAGCTACTTCTACTATTACTACTAATAGCAACACTTTATTCAGCATTTACTATGTGTCAGTAAATATTCTAAGAGCTTTATAGGAATTAACTCATTTCACTGTAACGACTCTGTGATCGAAGATACTATAGGCCCCATTTTACAGATGAGGAAACTAAGGCACAGAAAGGTTATGAAACTTGCCCAGACTCACACAGCTAGTGAGTGGCAGACCTGAGTTTGAACTCAGAGGAGTCTGGCTCCTGAGCCCCCCTGCTGTGTGTTTTTCTCCTACACATACATATATTGACTCCATAGACTCAAAAGCTTTTTTTAAAAAAATGTCAGTGGGGATATATGATGATTTTTGTGTAGACAGTCTCAAAGATGCTGGACTGGCATTCTTCATTAGCCCCCTGCTTGGGCAGACATCTGTTTCTGTGGGACTTGGCATTGGTGGAGTCTGCTAGCTCCTCCCAGCTCCTGACATGTTCTCTTCTTCCTGCAGCCCACCCGGAGAGAGCTGCCCTGCTGTTCGTGTCCAGTGTCGGCATCGGCCTGGCCCTCACATTGTGCGCCCTGGTCATCAGAGAGTCCTGTGCCAAGGACTTCCGCAAGTTGCAGCTGGGGAGGGAGCAGCTGGTGCCAGGAAGTGACAAGGCCGAGGAGGACAGCGAGGATGAAGAAGAGGAGGAGGACTCCTCCGAGTCTGATTTCCCAGGGGAACTGTCGGGGTTCTGTAGGACTTCATATCCTGTCTACAGTTCCATAGAAGCTGCAGAGCTCGCAGAAAGGATTGAACGCAGGGAGCAAATCATTCAGGAAATATGGATGAACAGTGGTTTGGACACCTCACTCCCGAGAAACATGGGCCAGTTCTACTGAAAACCACATGCATCTTAATGCGGTCGCACTTTCTGAAGAAGGAAGGATCCCAAATGCCCCTCCGGTTCTGGTTCACCCGTACCTTCTATGAAGGAGAATTTGTCATGTCATCCAACACTCGTGAGGCCAGGAAGCTATTAAAGGGATGTTTCAAGCTGTTTCCAGCACATTCCAAAATAAATGAGGAGGGAAGAGTCTTTGTTTTCTGTATTTATTTGAATTTGTGTCTATACATTAACAAGTCTATTCATAATTAGAATTTACATTTTTTGAGCGCTTATAATGCCAGGCACTATTCTAGCTGCTTTTCATGTTCTGAGTCATTCAGTCCTCACAATGTCATGAGATGGTACTATTACCCCCATTTTACAGATGAGCAAACAAAAGATTCCTATATATACACATAAAATAGCTATACAGATACTCAGCAAACATGAAGCTCATGAATGATGTTAACCACTGACTTGTTTAGACCAAGGGCTAGCAAACTTTTTCTTAAAAGGCATGATGATAGGCCAGGCACAGTACACCTGTAATCCCAGCACTTTGGGAGGCCAAGGCAGGTGGATCACTTGAGGTCAGGAGTTCGAGACCCGCCTGGCCAACATTGTGAAACCCTGTCTCTACCAAAAAAATTAAAAATTAGCAGGGTGTGATGTCACATGCCTGTAATCAAAGATTCTTGGGAGACTGAGGCAGGAGAATCATCTGAACCCAGGAGGCAGAGGTTGCAGTGAGCTGAGATCATGCCACTGCACACCAGCCTGGATGACAGAGTGAGAGACTCTGTCAAAAAAAAAAAAAAAAGCAAGATGATAAATATTTTAGGCATTGTGGGTGAAATCCTCTCTGCCACAATTACTCAACTCTCCATTGCAGCTCAAAAGCAGCCACAGATAATACATAATGAATGAACTTGGCTGTATTCCAATAAAACATTCTTTTTGGACACTGAAATTTAAATTTCATTTTATTTTCACATGTTCCACATTCTTCTTCTTCTTTTTTTTTTTTTTTTTGTCAAACCAACCATTAAAAAATATAAAAGCCTAAGGCCAGGAGTTCAAGACTAGCCTGGGCAACATAGTAAGATTCTATCTCTATTGAATTAAAAAATTTTTCAATAAAAGTAAATAAATAAAAATGTAAAAAGCCATTCTTAACTCAAAGGCTGTACAAAAACAGACAGCAGGATGGATCTGGCCTGCAACCTGTTTTTGTAAGTAAAGTATGGTTTGCAAAGCGTAAAATATTTACTTTCTTGCCTTCTATAGAAAAAAGGTTGCTGACTCCTGGTTTAGAGTTTAAAACAGCATCAAGCCATCAAGCAGGGTACCTAACAGTGCTGTGGGCCAGGATCAAGTGGAGCGGGCTCCCAAATCTCTCCAAAAACCCCACTGGGGGACGGCTGTGTGGAGGAGCAGAAGAAAGAGTTCAGAAAACAGACCCCAGTGGGAGAACTAATGATTGGTTCCTGCAGACGGCTCCCCCTGGTAGACAGGAGGCTTATAGCTGTGGCATCAAATAAGATAACTTTTTTTTTTTTTCTTTTTTGTCCTAGTAATCCCCGGGGCTTAGAATATAAAAATGATTGCAATTTTCATATGCCTACTACCAAAGAGCTCTCTCTGCGTTATCTTACTTCATCATCACTAACCCTGTAAACATACGTAGATGAGGAAGCTGAAGGCTGCCAGGGTAAGTATCGTCCGGCCCACGTCACACAGCTGGGAAGTGCTGAGACTGACTCATCCTGAGTGCTCAGGAAACATATCTGTTCCCGCAGGAACTCCTACAGTGACAGGTATAGAGAAGGCATGTCTCTCTCAGTCCTGCAGACCATCAGGGTGAAGGGCCTATCTGCAGGATGCAGAGGAGGGTGGGTGTGGAGTGAGGAGGCTCAGCTGCCCAGAATGGGGAGAGGGTCTGTGGCATTCGTTTTTAGTGAGTTGAAACCCACATAATGTAAAACTAACTCTCTCAATGGCATTTAGTCCATTCGCAATGTTGTGCAAATTCCACCTCTAGCTAGTTCCAAAATGTTTCGTCACCCCAAAAGAAAACTCTCTACCTGTTAAGCAGTCACTCCCCATTCCTCCCTCCCTCCAGCCCCTGGAAAACACCAAGCTGCTTTCTGTCACTATATGGATTAGCCTGTTCTGGATAGTTCATGTAGATGGGGTCACACAATATGTAGTCTCTTGTGACTGCCTCATTTCACTTAACATAACGTCCTCAAGGTCCATCCATGTTGTAGCAAGCGTAGCATGTGTTCATTCCTTTTCATGGCTGAATGATATTCCATTGTATGGCTAGCCCACGGTTTGTTTATCCCCCCCATCAGCTGGTGACATTTGGCTGTTTCCTTTGGCCACTGTGAATAGCGCTGCTGTGAACATTTCATGTGCGGTGCTTTTCACCAGCACAAAGCAGCAACTACAGACAGAGCTGGTGGGAAATCCTGTGTGTCCACTCAGTGGAAGGAAGGGGAAAATCAAGATGGGTCAGAATGACACTCCCTCTTCCACCCTCTGCACCTGTCAATTTCAAAGCAAGCTTCCCTTACACAGACCCCCTGCAGGTGGGAGAGCAGGGATTGGCCAAGAGAGGTGTCACACAGATGGGCTGGGGGTGGTTTGGGTGGAGACTGAAATTCCTCCGGACTTCCAGGCACCAGAATTTCTCCCATGGGGAGAAGTTGAAGGGGTTGGGAATGATGTGTTTTAACCCTTTTCCTTTTCCTGTTTAGAAAAAAAAGTGTGACTCACTGTCAGCACTCATTTAATTTTACATAAACACACTTTGAGGCTGAAGCAAATCTGACTGATTTTCAATGTGAACATAAAATATAAAAAATGTTCTTGGAGTTATTTCTAAACAGAACTGACATCAGAATCATCTATTTCAGAAAAACCGAATCCATCAAATGAATCTTCAGCCAACAACTGTTGGAGAATGAAGTTAACATCAGGCATGGGAATGCTACATTTTCTAGGATTTGACATTTTCAGCAATCGAGGATTACTATACTCTGTAAATGGAGATATCACTACTAAAAGCAGAATGCTATAAACAAAATAATGTGTTTTGTTTCCAAAGTCAATATACAAGAGCAATGCAAAAATCATAATAAAATAGAGATCTCCTAGAAAATTATCTCTGAGTAAATGCTACAGCCTCAAGTGCCACTTGTGAGTATTCTTTTTTTTTTTTTTTTTTTTTTTTTTTTTTTTTTTTGAGACAGAGTCTCGCTCTGTCGCCCAGGCTGGAGTGCAGTGGCCGCATCTCAGCTCACTGCAAGCTCCGCCTCCCGGGTCTACGCCATTCTCCTGCCTCAGCCTCCCGAGTAGCTGGGACTACAGGCGCCCGCCACCTCGCCCGGCTAGTTTTTTGTATTTTTTAGTAGAGACGGGGTTTCACCGTATTAGCCAGGCTGGTCTCGATCTCCTGACCTTGTGATCCGCCCGTCTCGGCCTCCCAAAGTGCTGGGATTACAGGCTTGAGCCACCGCGCCCGGCCCACTTGTGAGTATTCTCAGGGCAAATGGGAGAAGGGTTAAACCTGTCATTGGAGAGAAATCTATTTATTTATTTATTTATTTGAGAGAGTCTTGCTCTGTTGCCCAGGCTGGAGTGCAGTGGCGTGATCTCAGCTCACTGCAACCTCCATCTCCCAGGTTCAAGCGATTCTCCCTGCCTCAGCCTCCCGAGTAGCTGGGATTACAGGTGTGCACTACCACGCCTGGCTAATTTTTGTATTTTTAGTAGAGATGGGGTTTCACCATGTTAGCCACGCTGGTCTCGAACTCCTGACCTCTGGTGATCCTCCCGCCTCAGCCTCCCAAAGTGCTGGGATTACAGGCATGAGCCACTGTGCCTGGCCTGGAGAGAAATCGATTCCGGATCATATCAGAGAAGGAAGTGAATTCCATTGTCCAACTGTTTCATAACGATTTTGTTCTAATCACAGAGACTCTCTGTCCTTTCATGTCCCTGAGTTCAGCGAGGAGCATTTTGATAATGTCCCAGCTCCCAGAGCAGCTGTCTCTCTCTATTTCCAGTTTGAAGGCAGCATCTTCCTTGTCTCTGTGAACGCAAATGCTGTCCAGCTGATGGCTGATGATTGTCTTCTTGGGGCTGCAGACGTTCACTTTACCAATTGAAGAAAGAGCTGTGCCCATATTGGCCTCAGTCACATGCTTTTCTTGAATTCCACAACGGGTTTTCCCCTATCTGAATTTCCCCCCTCAACCCCCAGCATGCGTGCTTACACACACACACACACACACACACATACACACCCTCCCAGGATCCCTGCAGAGGCAACTGGTCAACAGGCTTGCCAACTCAAGTGTCAGTCTTTGGCCTGTGCAGATACAGTGAGATATTTCTTTGCATTTTCAGAGCCCCAAAGAAGAATGCCATGTTCTTGTTGTGGAAGGAGGCTGAAGGGTCCTGCTGAGATTGTGTTTGGCTTGGCACAAAGTCCAGGGGGAAAATGACCAGAGCGGATTTGGATGAGGGACTGCTGATGGACCGTGGTGACTGGGAGGAAGCTCCCGGGTGGAAGTCCTCCCAGGGACCACGGGCTCAGGTGGGCTGCCACTTCTTGCTTTTGTGCTTTCTGCGCAGCAGAGCCCCCACAGTTTCCAAGCTGTGGGGTCCCAGGAGTCCTGTGAAAAGAAGACAGTTCCCTCTGGGAGGTTTGCACGTGCCTACCTCAGCTACTTGCTGCTAATGCTGACTTTCCATCCATGAGCTGCCTGCTGTGAAATTCTACTCTTCTGGATACACACAGGCCTGTCTGAGGGGCTGCTGGGACCTGTAGCAGCATGACATTTGCTACTGCTTCAGGGAGAAGCCCAGGGACCAAGCGGGCTCTGGGGAGCCTGGAAGCAGTCCCACTGTTGACCCCACAAACGGACCTGTGTGTGATGTTGGTGCCCTGTTCCCAGGCACCCAGCCCGCAGCTGCCGAGAGGAGTGGTTGTGAATGGCCCTCACCTGTCCTCTTCTGCAGAGAATTACTCCTCCCCCCTTTCTTACAGGTGTTTCCCCGGAGGACACTCCTCTAATAAATCTCTCGTGCACAAATCTCCATCTCAGGAAACTGACTTCCAGCATCCAATGTGAGAGTTCTGTGGACCGCGGCGTGTGTCAGGCCCTGCTGAGCCACAATGCTGGGCAGCGTCACGTGCA